CAACAATACAGTTGCATTGTTAAACCAGTTTACGTGTTCTAAGGAAATGAAGAGAAGGAAAGATAACACACACATTGTAAAATCTCTCATTTCCTCCTGTGACTCTGAGTTGATAAACACCTATCAAACTCCCTCCTCCTCAGCCGGAAGGAGTTTGATTGGTATTTCTCGTCTGCCACCAACAAATCCTTTTTGATCTGGGAGTATCTTTATTTCCTCTTCATTTCTGAAGCCCAGTTTGCTGGGTTTGGGATTCTTGGTTGGTCTGGTTTTCCTTTCGGCACTTAGTGCCATTCCCCTGACACTAGCCTCTGTGTTTCTGGTAACTAGTCCAGTGTGTGCTGTGGCTGTCACTCAAACTCCTCTGGGCATGAGCTGCTCTCTCTCGCACATTCAAGGCCTTCTGCCCCTGGAACAGCATTTGAGCTGGTGTATCTAGGTGTTCTTCCCGTTGTGTTTATCCTACTTGGAGTTTGGTTCAATTTATAGATTAATGTTTTTTTCTCAAATTGGGAAGTTTTCAACCATTATTTCTGCAAATACTTGGTCTGCCCTTTCCTCTCCAGTGACCCCTCTTACGTGCATGATGGGTCCTTACATCCCCTGGTCCTACAGATCTCTGATCTATTTTTCTGCAGACATTTTCTCTGTTCTTCAGGTTGGTTAATTTCTATTGTTAGTCAACAGGAATTGATCAAGGCTTGATGCCAGTGCTTAGCTGATGTCCACTGGTGGGCGCCTAGATTGTCTTTGTATTTTGGTGATGGTTAAAAGTGCTGTGGTAAATGTGAGGTGCAGGGGATGATCGTGAGGAGTGATTTCATTTCCTTTTGGGGTACAGATGGTCCCTGACTCTTTGAAGCTGTGAGAGCTATTCGTACCTCCATTCCATTTTCCACATCAGTAGAGGGTTCCGTAACTCCATGAGCTACTCAGTGCTTCATGACGAAGCAGGCCTGTTGAGTCTCTTGTCAAAGTGCAGCTAACGAAACTGTTTTGGCGTGTTTAAGGTAGGTGAGGTTAGGCTGGATTTATTAAATACAATTCACCTTGGGCTATTTTCAACTTATTATGATCTTATCAGGATGTCACCCCACGATAAATCAAGGAGTGTTTGTGTACCCTGAAGAGGGGTTGCTGGGTTGACTTTAAAAACAATTTTCTTTTATCTGGGTGTGGTGGTGCCTGTAATCCCAGTGACTTGGGAGACTGAGGCAGAAGAATCTCAAGTTCAAGGCCAGCCTCAGCCACTTAGTGAGACCCTGTCTCAAAATAAATAAGAAGGCCTGGGGATGTAGCTCAGTGGTAAAGCACCTATGAGTTCAATTTCCAGTACTAGAAAAACAAAAAAATAATTTTTTTTTTGTTTCACTATTGGGATTCTATACTTGTTGATTCATTGTTACTCTATTTTCCTTTAACTTGAACTTGCTTTGAAGTCTTTGTTAACTCCAGTACGTGGGTCCAAAGTCAGTGTCTGTTTGCTCTTGTTTTCCCTGTGTATGGGTCACATTTTCCTGTTTCTTTCCATGTCCAGTAAGTCTTGGTTGAAAACTAGAAATTTTATATATGTGGCAACAACTCTGAGTTGGTTGGTTTTTCGGAGGTTGATTGACGGCTTTACCTGGATTTATTTATTTTTAAAGACAGAGAATTTTTAATATTTATTTTTTAGTTCTCGGCGGACACAACATCTCTGTTGGTATGTGGTGCTGAGGATCGAACCCGGGCCGCACGCATGCCAGGCGAGCACACTACCGCTTGAGCCACATCCCCATCCCGCTTACCTGGATTTAAACATCAGACTTTCTCCTCCAACCATGTATGGCCCAGTGTGTCTGCTCAGTTGTTCCGATGCTCATCCCTGGAATCCACCTGTGGCTTCCTCCCTGGCTTACTAATCAGCCAGTGATTTACAGCACTTGTATTCAAGTGCTCCCAGCCTGTGTTATTCCACCTGTTTGTGGTTTGGGGAACCCTTTTAAACCACCCTTGGCTTTTCCTTTTCCCTGGGCTCTCTTGGGGCTTCTCACCTGCACAGATCCCTGTTAGCCAGGAGTGTACAGAGTGCCTCAGCCTATCTTGGGCCTTTTTCATTACTGTAAGTAAATACCTAAAGCTGGGTAACTTTATAGAGAGATTTATTTTGGCTCATGGGTTTGGAGGTAAATGGAGGGGCTATAATTGGTGATGGCCTGGTCGCTGGCAAGTCCCAAGGTGGCTGAGGGCATCACATATCAAGAAACAGGGAGAGTACACGTGTGTTCTGTGTTCTCTCTCTCTTCTGAAAAAGCCACCAGGATTCAGCCACAGACCTTCTCCCTAATGACCTTATCTAGTCCTAATTACTTAACAAAGGCCCCACCTCTACACGCCACAGTTGGATTAAGTTTCCACCTCTTAATACTGTCCAGTGGGATTAAATGTCACCATGTGAATTTGGGGGGACACACTCAGACTATATCCAAACCAAAGCCCAGCCATCCTCTCCAGTTCCCTCATTCCCAGGGGCTCCCCACTGCACTTGTGGCCGGCTTCTCACTCCAACTTGGAAGACTTCAGGTCACTGTGGTTTTTACATAAATGGATCTCTCAGCGTAATTGAAATATATCATGCTGAGCACCTGTCAATACCTCCTTCCTTTTTATTGAAAAATAATAATACACCATATATACCAAAGTTCATCGACTTTTTTTTTTTTTTCCAGTACAGAAGATTGAACTTGGGGGCACTCTAACCCAGTCTTATTTTTTTTTTTGTTTTTTACTTTGAGACAGAGTCTTGCTAAATTTCCCAGGCTGGGCTTGAACTTGTCATCCTTCGGCCTCAGCCTTCTTTTATTTTTTTAAATTACTTTTTTAGTGGTAGGTGGACACAAGACCTTTATTTTATTTATTTACTTTTATGGGGTGCTAAGGATGGAACCCAGCCTTCACACGCACTAGGCAGGTGCTTTACCGCTGAGCCACAGCCCAGTCCCCTGCCTCAGCCTTCTGAGACACTGGGATTCAAGGTGTGGGCCGCAGCACCTGTCCCCTTATGATGGTGGACATTTGGGTTGTTTCCAGGTTCAGGATTTTTACAGATAAACCCGCTGTGAACTTTTGTGTCCGTGTTTGTGTGGACGTATTCTTTCATTTCTCCTGGGTCACACCTAGAAGGGAAGGATAGCAGGATGATTTGGAAGGTGTATGTTTGGCATTTTATTATACTTAATTTGGAATGATTTTGGGTTCACAGAAAAGCCTCCAAGGTAGAGCAGAGAGTTCTCTACACGGCTACCCCGGCTTCCCTTATCGTCACCTGGTGGGAGTCGTGTCTGCTGGGCCTCTCTGCTGTGAAGGCACCATTTCCCCTCCTGTGCTCCAGTCAGAGTTCAGCCCACTCCTAAGGTGGGCAGGGAGGGTCGGCTCTAGCTCCTGGGGACTGGTGATCTGTACCATTTGGAGCCTTCTGCAGTGAGGACGCACCGTCTCCCTCTCATTTCTTTACTGTCAATCACTTGTGTAGCAGACACACACATTCACATCAGCTGGGGTTTCCGGCCAGCACTACCTTATGTTTTCTTCACATTCCCTCTGGGTTCTTTTCGTTGGGCTGCTGGGTCCTGGGATGTGCTGCCATCCTTGGGTTTGAGCACTTCCGTTTGGACACTGCATCATGCTCAGTGGCACTTCTCATGTTCCTGGCCCAGCCGGTCATTCTTCAGGAGCACTGGTTTGTCTTCTTAGAGCCTGGTGTTTAGAAACCAGGATTGTGGTCAGAGGTGTTCTCGCTGCTAATGATGTGACATTTGTTTCTGGAAGGCGTCAGAGGTAGGTAATTATATACCTTAGGATGCACATATTTGGGCTGGGATTGTGGCTCAGCGGTAGCCTTGCACAGGTGGAACCCGGGACGGGTCCTCAGCACCACATAAAAATAAAGGCATTGTGTTGTGTCCATCTACACCTAAAAAATAAATATTTAAAAAAATATATGCACATATTTATGTAAATATACATGTGTATGTGTATCTGTATGAAGCTGAACACGAGTCCTCCCCAGTCTCCCCCCTTCGTTCTGTTCCACAGGGATCCCTTGACCCCCACAGCTTCGCTGTCCTGGCGCCTGGCCGCGGCCAGCTGAAGGCCTTTTCTTACCCATGCACCCCGGGCACACCCTGCAGCCGCAGAACCGCCAGTTTCCCTGCATTTCCTGTGGTCACGAGCCTCCTAGGTTGCCACTTTCCTTCCTGCCTCCAGGATCTTTTTTTCACAGACGACATCATGGTGACCCTTAGTTGGTCACAAGGAGTTTGCAGAGGAGATGTCGTTTCCACTTCAAGACAAAAGAGTTCTATTTAGCCAGGCTAATTCCTGACCAGGATTCAGCAACAAAGACAGCGGAAACCCTTACCCCACGCTTGCCTTTCCCTCTCTCTGGTAAGCAGGCCCGCGTCTGCCCGGCTGGCCACCGGTGTGGCATCTCCTTCCTGCGCTTAAAGTGGAACCTGTGCCTTTAGATAGAGCAGAACATGTGGGCGTGGGAAGAACACGCGGGGTTCCAATGCTCCCGCTGAGCACCAATTCCCGGACATTTTGTGTGTTTCTAGACCCTTCTCCAGCCCTACCCAGCTGCTCCCCAGCGACCACAGTGGAGGTGTGACCTGAGAGACCCAGAGCCAGGGGAGCCAGGTGCAGCGGGCTTCGGGCAGGAGGAGGGTGTGCAGAGCACCGACTGGCCAGGTGCACAGGTGCAGCCAGACCCTCGTTGGGGGAGGTCGGGGGTCCCCTAGGCATGGAGAGGAGCGCCTGGGAGACAGGAAAGAGCTGTCTGGGGCCGGCTCAGCGAGGGTGGAGCCCAGCACAGGGTCTGCGGGCCCAACATTCCAAGCCAGGCTGCGCTCAGCCGTTGAGAGCGTAGTGAGGGCGTGGCCAGCACGTGGCGAGGCGTGACCAGGCACGTGTCTGGTGCGCAGGCGCGGTGCCCTCCAGTCTGGGGCCTCGGCAACCGGCGTCATGGAGCGGTTGCGCTGGCAGATGGTGGGTGTGGCGGCCGCAGGCTTCGCGCTGGCCCTGGAGGTGCTGCCCTGGCTGCTGCGCAGGCTACGGGCTGGGCGGCCACGGCGCGAAGTCCTCTTCTTCCCGTCCCAGGTGACCTGCACCGAGGCCCTGCTGCAGGCCCCGGGCGCCTCTCCCACCCGGCCGCCCTCGGGCTGCCCGTGCAGCCTGCCCCACTGCGAGAGCTCGCTGAGCCGCCTGCTGCGCGCGCTGCTGGCCGCCCGTGCCAGCCTCGAGCTCTGCCTCTTCGCCTTCTCCAGCCCGCAGCTGGGGCGCGCCGTCCAGCTGCTGCACCAGCGCGGGGTGCGAGTGCGAGTCATCACCGACTGCGACTACATGGCGCTCAACGGCTCGCAGATCGGCCTGCTGCGCAAGGCGGGTGAGCTGGAGCCGGGCCCTGGGGCGGGCGGGCGCCGAGAAGGGAAGGCCCTGGAAGGCGGGCGCTTGGTGGGAGGGACCGGCGGGTAGGCAGAGACTTCATTGAGTCCCCCGGTAAGGACTGGGTGGTTTTGCACCTGCCGCCACCAAAGTCAAGCCACCTGGCACGTGAGCCACGCCAGGATTCTTTGCAGAGCAGTCTGATGTCCCGTGTCTGAGTGTGTCCCCAGAGAGGAGGGGAGGAATAACGGTGGGACTTCCTAAGGGTAGATGTCTTGTCCCAGGACACCACGTGTCAAGTGGAGCCTCCAGGATCCCGCTTATTCCCAGGCCCTGGGGTATGCTGGGGATAGGAGGTGCCTGGGCACAGGTGGGAGGGGTTGCCCTGACCAGCAGTCTTGGTGACTGTTGTAGTCCTACATGAGGTTGGCAGGACTCAGAATGAAGAGCAAAGCTCTGGCCACACCGGTAATCCCAGTGCCTGGGGAGGCTGAGGCAGGAGGATCTCAAGTTCAAGGCCAGTCTCAGCGACTTATACCTTTGTCCCAAAGTAGAAACTATAAAGGGCTGAGGTGTAAATTAGTGGTAGAGGCCTCTGGGTTTCATCCCCAGCATGGCAAAACCCAACAAAGCCCAACTTTCTATGCTTAACCACTGGCAGCCTGCAGAGACCCTTGGCCACTCTGTGTGTGATGTCAGGGTTTGGCTTCTGCTCCCAGGGAAGCAGGCACTGCCTGTGGCACTAAGGAATCCCACGCTGGGCTCCGGAAACGCATAAAACTTATCTACTGAAAATGGAGCCAAAAATGTTGATGAGTGGTTGTTTCTCAGCTGCAAAAGAAGAGAAGACAGCTGTGGCTCTCTGGCCTGCTTCTTTGCCCAGCGTAAGGATGAATGGGAAGATCCAGACCCTCGTCTGCCTGGGGACGATGAGTCTGTTCTTTGCCTACTCAGTGTGGCGGTCGGGTGCTCTTGCTTCCTGTGCCAGTGCACAGGGTGAGTCGTGGGTGTCTCCGGATCCCCAGGCACCTGGAGAGCCATGTCTGTGTGCGCGTCCATCTCAGTCATCTCGTGGCCACTGTGACCGACGTGGGACGTGTCAGGCTTGCCGTGGTCTCACTGCCCAGTTATTTCTGCCCAGCCATGGGCCACCTGCTGATCTGGGAATCAGAGGACTCCTTCTGGGAGTCCTTCTGGGTTCCTTTGCTCCAGGTGGGAGGGTGTCAGACCCTCTACCCAGCACAGCCCATCCCCTGGGTGAATGGAGGGTGATCTGAATATTGAGGACATTCCCATCACCCTTAACTGGCAGTCACAAGAGTTAGCCTCGGTCTGTAGGTAATTTCAGTGTGGAAAATGTGGATTCCTTCAGGCAGAATTTAAATTAGCTGGCTTTTAGACAATTGCAGAATCTCAGGTTTGGAAAGAACCAGATTCTCCTTGAAAGACTGGACTTCTGCTGATGGCTCCCCAGCCACATCTGGGCTGAATTGGCTCTAGGTTGTCCATCAGCTGGCATCCACTCAGCAGATGCATTGTGGGTCAGTGTCTGTTAGGGTTGGGTCCAGGTGCTGGGACACAGCTGATGAGGTCCCCATGGAAGGCAACTAAAGCATGAATATTTGATTTGAGGAACTGTTTTTTTTTTTTTTTGGTACCGGGGATTGAACTCAGGGGCACTCAACCACTGAGCCCCATCCCCAGCCCTATTTTGTATTCTATTTAGAGACAGGGTCTCACTGAGTTGCTTAGTGCCTCGCCATTGCTGAGGCTGGCTTTGAACTCGGGATCCTCCTGCCTCAGCCTCCCAAGCCGCTGGGATTACAGGTGTGTGCCACAGCACCCAGCTGATTTGAGAAACTTAAGAAGGGTCTGGAAGACTTCAGTGAGGGAGGAAGAGGGATGGCAGGACAGCTGCCAGACCTGAGAGAGTGCTCTGAGGGACGGGCTTTTGGTTGGAAGGAACAGCAAATGAGCTGTTTAGATGTTCAGTCCTGAGCTGCTGAGGAAGAGTGAGGTCCCTGTGGCTGAAGTGGAGAAGTGGTGACAGACGCCAGGGGGCTGGTGTTGTACCAGGACACTGTTGTGTGGCAGGAAATGGCATGTGTGGCCTCCTCAGGTTGTGCAGACACCTGAGGAGCAGGTGAGGAGGGTGGCGGGTGGATAGGGTGGGTGTGGTAATGGTGGCGTGTCCAGAGGGTTGGAGTTTAGATCTGTTCTGAGGGTGGAGGGAGGGGGGTCTGCTGGGTTAGTTCCAGGTGCGAGCATCAGGTAGGGTCCCTCCTGAGGAGGGAGGACAGGGTGCACAGCTGAGTTTGATTTTCACATACACAATGAGAATGGTGTATGTCCCAAGTGCTGTAGGGGACATAGGGACTTTCAAAACTTACTGTACACCTCAGACACCCAATTTGGACCCCAGGTGTTTCTGTTTGGTAAATCTGGCCCCGCTGTTCCAAAGCCACCCGTAGGCATATTTCCAACAGTCTCACTCTGAGAGCAGATGGTGGTGACAGGTGGCCTCCTGGAGGCTGGTGCCCTGAGGAGTCAGATGCAGCCCCTCACTCTGGGGAGTGGGAGAACTGGGACCATGAGCGTGGGGGTGGTGCCGTGTCTCAGGGCCGGCCAGGCCCAGGGGTCTTCCCTCGGGTCCCGGGGTGCATCCTGGGAAGTGTGGGCCTCCCTCCTGCCTCAGCTGCTGTCCTTCTCAGCCTGTCTCTTCCTCTGTCCAGCGGGCAGTGGGAGTGGAAAGGAGAGGCGAGGACAGCCTCAGGTGCCCTGCTCTGTACCCTTACCAGAGCTTGACCATGAAGGAACATGGTGGGCAGTTGGTTTAGACCCCAGACCTGGCAAAGGGCTGTGCAGGTGGGTGTGGTCCCAGAGGAGAGTGGGCGGGGTCCAGTCACAGTGCTGTCCCACCTCCCACCACTTGCTCCTTGGTGGCTGGCCCTGCCCTGCTGCGTGCCCCTGGGTGACACGCTCGCCCTCTCCCTGGGGTCTCCACACTGCCCTGGGCAGCAGATGGCGACCTTGGGAAGGTACTTGGGAGGCCGTGCAGGTCAGGGGAGTAAGACGGCCTTTCCTCCACAGGAATCCAGGTGCGGCATGACCAGGACCTGGGCTACATGCACCACAAGTTTGCCATCGTGGACAAGAAGGTGCTCATCACGGGCTCCCTCAACTGGACCACGCAGGCGATCCAGAACAACAGGGAGAACGTCCTGATCATGGAGGACGCCGAGTACGTGAAGTTGTTCCTTGAGGAATTCGAGCGCATCTGGGAAGAGTTCAACCCCACCAAGTACAGCTTTTTCCCACAAAAGAAGCACAGCCGCTGAAGCCGTGCCATCCCCCCCCTCAGAGATTCGGGGGCTCGTCCTGCCCTGGAAGCCCACCCAGCCTGCGGAGGGGCAGAGCGTGCTGCCTGGGCAGAGGCCGTGCTGAGACCTCCACCCAGAAAGCCCCCAGGTGACACTCTGCTGACTTACTGCCCTGTGTCTCAAAAGGCTGGGGTGAGAGGGGAGGTCCCGGTGGTGTCAGGTCAGGGGCTTGGGCTTCGCCCTTTGCCTTCCACAGTCACTCAGCCCTGGCTCCCTGCGGCCTGCTTTTGGGACCTTTGCCACATCCTGCTTGAGAACCCAGCTCCTCAGGCTGCACAGTCAGGCCTGGGGCCTCTTTCAGGGTGAGCATCCCACCCCACCTTCCGATTCTAGAAAGGTCTCTCTGGCAGGCTTGGTCCAGCTCAGCCTCTGGGCCTGTCCCTGGGGCCTTCCTTCCCCCATCCGGGCCTTTCCTCGCCTGACAGTGCAGCTGGCTCTTGGCACCTGTGCCACCTCTGGTAGAGAGGTCAAGAGGGGAGCGGCGTGGCAGGCACTGTCGGCCGGGGGCCACTTTCCAGGGCCGCCTTAGAGCAGGAGCTGCCAGAAAAGGCAGGCCATCCTCTTGGGCACCTTCCTGGCAGAGTCAACGGGCTGAGTGACGCTGTGACCCTCCACAGCTAGCCTTCATCTTCCTGTGGCCTGCTGATGTGGGCCGCGGTGGCCAGAAGCCATGTCTGTTTGTACATTGTGCTCCCACTTTTAACATCCTCGTGTCCAAGGTGATCTTGTGTGGTTAGGAGCAGTCGCACCTGTAACCCATAGGCCCAACGAATTCATTCCAGCTCAGTGTGATGAATTGTGGTGACCTGGCCACAGGGAGACTCCAGGCCAGGAGCCAGCCCCCACTGCGGGACCTCGACCTGCATGTGCTCAGTGGAGGCTTCGATGACAGGCAGTTAGGAAACAGATTTCTCATGCATTTGTGAATTGTTTCCGACTGTCATCACTTATTTTGGCAATGTGTATCTTACATTGTAGATTGAACAACATCTGAAGCTATGATTTTGCTGCTGTTGGTGTTTTTGTAAGATTAGCTGGGTGACTGTCACCAGGACAGAGCGGGTGGGGTCTCCCATCTGTAGTAGTTCATGCTTCCGTCAACCCCTGGAGACCACTCAGCGCTGTGTGTTTCTCCCCTTCCTAAAGTTACCTTTGATTTTGTGCTAGGCAAGTAAAGGCAAAGTTTATTTTCTAAAAACTGTAATGGAAGCTGTAAAATGTAATATACCCCAAAGTGGTTACGTTAAGTGTGTTCTTTCCAAAGTTTGTTAATGCCCATGGTGTGTCCTGGGAGGAGAACAGTTGTCACACAGAGCCTTCTGAGTGACACTGCTGTGGGACGCCGGGCTTCCGGCACTTTTGAGTAAATATTGCTGATTCTGGAACGAGAATGCTGTGTGGCTTGGCCTTATTCTGTTGTGTTCAACAGCAGCTATTCTTCACCAGGACTTTTCTTGCAGGGAATAGACAGCTCTTTAGACACCAGTGGTCAAGACAGGAGCCCCTCCAAGACTGCAGTGAGACCGAGGTCCGTCCTGGAGATGAGTGTTTTCTAATGTCCCAGCTTCTTTAGATTCTGCTTCACCTACAAGGCCTGGGATTCTCAGCTACGTAGGCTTTCCCGCCAGCCTGATCTGTGACGGTGTGTGGGCCTTCAGGGAGCCCTGGGCTCCACCGCGACTGCACCTTTTCTTTAGAGGGTAGACTGCTGTTCAGATGGCTGCATGTGGCTATCAGGAATTGGATGCACAAAAGGACCAGCTGAGATATCTGCAGGAATGTCTGAAGATTTGCAAAATAATTTTTTTTCACATATTCATTTTTACTTAATGCAGTAATTATACTTTTTCATAATCTAAGCAAAAGGAACCTCACAGAATATTCAGATACTATTTAAATTTTCTTTCTTTTTAATTGAACCCAGGGCTTTGTTTATATGAGGCAAGTACTCTACCAACTGAGCTATATCCCCAGCCCCTAACTGAAAAAAGCTTTTGTAAAGTTAAATATCCACTGAAGAAATATGACACTAAAATTTCCCTCAAAAGTGGAGGCTGGCCGGGCGCGGTGGCACACGCCCGTCATCCCAGCGGCTTGGGAAGCTGAGATAGGAGGATCGCAAGTTCAGAGCCAGCAACCGCGAGGCGCTAAGCGACTCAGTGAGACCCTGTCTCTAAATAAAATACAAAATAGGGCTGAGGATGTGGCTCAGTGGTCAAGTGCCCCCGAGTTCAATCCCCAGGACCACCCCGAAAAAAAATGTTGGGGGCGGCTGTTTCCTTTACCAAGGGGTATTTCCTCAGCTTTGGTACAGATGCCCACAAGCCCCAGGAGCATGAAGGCCACCAGTGCAGGCCCAGATCCCCAGGGATGACCATGACAGGCTGGCCAGGCCAGCAGGTGGGAGTCCATCCCTGAGACCCTCAGGGCCATGAAGGCACCTAGGAAAGCACTCTCTCAGCTGACTGAGATCCTTCAGGCAGCAGCAGTTGTTCAAAGGGCCAGTCCAGGAACAGGCAGCCCGGCTGGGGGGACACCTACAGCTGGTCTGGCTTCTGTCTCAGCACACGAAAGCAGCTGATGGTAAACTCAGCACGAGTGTACAAGAGGCTGGGCGGGGAGTGTGTAGGATTGTGTCACAGCAGCCTCCCTCAACCTTCTTCCTAGAGAAATCTTAATAAATTCCCTGAGTAGGCGGGTGTGTGAGCCACAGGGGGTGATGTTTGTGTGTGGTGTGAGGTGGGGTCCAACTTCAGTCTCTGCCTAGGGATATCTACTCCTCCTGGAAGCATTTCTTGAAATTGATGGTGTTGACCCCCTAGTTGGAAGTTAATTGGCTGTGAGTTTAAGAGCCTATTTGAGAACTCTCAATTCTGTTCCATTGGTTTGTATGATTATTCTAATGCCAGTTCCTCACTTGTCTTGATTATTGAAGTTTTGAAACCTGCTAGTACAAGCCCTTTAACTTTGCTTTTTCTCAGCATTGGATATTCTGGGTTCCTTTAATTTCCATATGAATTTTAAGATCAACTGATAAACTGCTGCAAAAATAAGTTAGGATTTAAAAGAATTTTTTTAGTTGTAGATGGACATGATATCTTTATTTTTATTTATGTGGTGCTGAGGATGGAACCCAGTGCCTCACATGTACTAGGCGAGCACTGTACCGCTGAGCCACAATGCCAGCCCCATAAATTAGGATTTTGGTAGTAATTGCATTGAATCTGTAGATCAGGTTGGGAAATGTTGCCATCTTGTCTTCCAATCTATGAACATGGGATGTTTTCCCATTTATTTATTTATTTTTAAAATATCTTTATTTTACTTATTTCTTTTCATGTGGTGCTGAGGATCGAACCCAGGGCCTTGCACATGCTAAGTGAGCTCAGCTCTACCACTGAGCCACAACCCCAGCCCTCTTTTCCCATTTAAATCTCTTAAAAATTTCCTTTGATACTTGTGGTTTGCAGTGTGCAAGTCCTTACACTCCTAAAGTTTAGTTTTTGATGTTATTGTAAACAGAATTGCTTAATTTCAGGTTTAGATTGTTCATAACTAGTGTGTAGAAATACGATATACAAATCTTATATCCTACAAGCTTAGTGAACTTATTAATTTGAACAATTTTTAATGGATTCTTTAGGATTTCCCGCATACAAAGATCATCCTATTTGCAGAGAAGTAATTTTTCTTCTTCCAAGTCAGAGGCCTTTTTTTCCCCTCCCAGTTGTTCATGGGAATCCCCAGATGAGCTGTCCCATGGGCAGACGTGTGCATCATAGTCTGCAGCAGGGACAGTTTTGTGGGATCCTCTGCACAATGTTGAATAGAGAGGTTTTGAGAATAAATATCCTTGTCTTGATTGTCATTTTGGGGGACAGCTTCACACAAGGACTTTATCATATTAAGGAAGTTTTATTCTCTGTTGACAGATCCCCCTCCCACACACACCCAAATCACAAGAGGGTGATGGATTTGCAGATGTAAATGGACTTTAAATCGTACTTATATAGTTAAAAAAAAAAAAAAAAAAGCCTGTGATGCTGGGCATAGTGGCCTATTCCCAGAATCCCAGGGAGGGGGCTGAGGTGGGAAGATGGAACAAGGCTGAGCTCAGCAACTTAGTGAGACCCTGTCTCAAAATAAAAAAGGGCTGGGGATGTAGTTCAGTGGTAGAGTGCCCCGGGTGCGATCCTCAGTAACCATCCCCTGCAAAATGTGTTACAAATACAGAACACTATATCAGGCCAGTGTCCAAACACTTTGTTGTGTATATTTGAATGTAAATCTTTTTTAAATAGGCAAAAAGTTATTGAAAAGTCCTAAACAACTGGGATAACACTCTAGAAAGAACGGTTTATGTATTTAACTTTCCTTTTGCTAAGTTTTATACATTCCTTAAATTGATTTCTAATTGATAGTCTTTGATTTTTTCCTATAATATTCTGAACAAAATTCTTGGATTCCCATACAGTCACTTTCATACCTTTTATTCTAAAGCCTGAAATAAGATTAAAAAAAAAAAAATTGGTTTATTTTAAATTTGCCATTCAACCAGAACTTTAAAAACATGAAATAGAAGAGAAAAATCAGAGTATATTACAGTAAGGGAGAATTGTTTTGTTAAATTTTGGGTCTGTGTGTTTTGGATCATAATGTAGAATGCATTTAAAAAAAAAAAAAAAACAAAGGTATGTTTACATTGGAAATGATTAAACAGTATGGGCAGGATGCAGGGTCCCATGCTGGGTCCCACACTGGTGATCCCAGTGACTCCGGAGGCTAAGGCAAGAGGATTGCAAGTTCCAGACCTGCCTCAGCAACTTAGCAAGACGGTCCCCTGGAAGAGTGAGGAGAAGCTGGGGCTTAGCTTGGTGGTAAGATGTGCTGAGTTCAATCCCCAGTACCAAA